ACGTTCGGGGTTCATTTTAGGGGCCTCCATACGTTTGGCCTGGCAACCCTATATATATATATATATAGTCGGTGAAACTCCGACGAAACAGTTTGTCACAGCCCCTCGTTTGTTGTCCTCTTCTCCCTCTCTGCCTACGGTTTACCGGGCAGTTCTATTTGACGATATATATATATTTGTCACAGCCCCTCGTTTGTTGTTCTCTTCTCTCTCTCTGCCTACGGTTTTACCGGGCAGTTCTGCTTGTGACGATATATATATATATACAGGGTTATCTGACCGAACGTTCGGGGGGCCCCGGGTTGGCCCCCGAACGTTCGGGCGTTCAGGGTCCCGTTCGGGGGCCGAACACCTCGAGGTTCGGCCCCCGCCAAAAAACGTTTCGGGGCCTAAAAATAAGTTTTTTTTTCTGAATGTTGTTTGGTGAGTTCTTTATGATGTAGCCTACATGCCTACAAATTTTGGAAGTCGTTCGGCTAAGCCAAACAAACATTAAAAATCGTCAAAGATGGGGGTGTCAAAACGTGCTCTCCCACTCACTTTTTTGTTTTTTTCCACTTTTAACTTTTTGTTTTCACTTTATTTCGGGGCCTGAAACATTTTATTATTTTTTGAAAATTTTTTAATGAGTTATTGTTTATGTAAACTACATATCTGTAATTCAGCGCATTTGTCAATGTCAAACAATAATTAAAAATCGGCAAAGATGGCGGTGTCGAAAAGGTGCTAGCACACTCACTCATTTTAGTTCTCTTTTTAGTTTTTCTTATTTTTATCATAGTGTTTATTTTCTGTATTTGATTTTTAGTTCAAATTTGGTCTAGGCTACCAGCTGGGCCGCCGGGGTCACCTTGTGTTGCCTGTGCGGATGGTCCCAGCAAAAAAAAAAAAAAAAAAACTCCCAAAAAATCCAAAAAAAACTATGTTGTGTAGAAAAATAAACAGAACAACTTTTGCCTCAGAGTCATATCGGAATTCTTTACCAATTTAAAAATAAAAATAAAATTTGAAAAATAAAATTTTATTTTTATTTATTGTAATCCATTTTGGCCCGGCCGGGCAAGTGGTCCCGGGCCACTCTGGTAGCCTAGAATTTGGTAAAGAATTTGGATGTAGTGCCCAGATAAATGTTGTTTAGTTTATTTGTTTCCATAACATTGTTTGTTTTTAGAAATTTTTGATTTTTTTTTTTTTTTTTTTTTTTTTTTTTTTTTTTTTTTTYKCKTTYSSCCCGAACGACCGAACGCCTTCCGAAGGGGTCCCGTACGTTCGGTCGTTTGCCCGTCCCAAACGCCGATAACCCTGTATATATATATATATATATATATATATATATATATATCGTCAGAAACATATAGATAGATAGATAGATAGATAGATAGATAGATAGATAGATAGATAGATAAATCGCTCAAACGTGTTTGCGAGCTGTTCGTGCGAATGAACATCAAGGGACGCGAACACGTTCACCGTGCTACGCAGATAAAAGGGTGACAACTTGAATGAAGGTGACACAAACGCAGTGTTCATAATTATCGAGGATTGGTTGTTGAAGCGAAATAAAAGCAAAAATAATAGAAGGTTAAGAATGTAAGCATTTGCAAACATAATAATGTATGTCCACGACGATAGGCAGACGAGAATAATGATGCACATTGTATAAAATATAAATAAAATAACAGTAGTAAAAATTATTTATCAACCATAAAGGGAGACAATACTTGAATCAATGGCGTTCCTAATACTAATGATAACAAAACCCTATTTGTTAGTTTACTATAAAGATTGCAAAAGAGAAGTATTATTATTATAGGTGAAGGGAAAACGAGGCAAAAAAAAAAGTGGGGATAATAAAATATGAGAATTTAAGCAAACACTAGGATACTGGCCTGAGCACACAAGTCAACTTCTTTCACCAGGCAACGGGCCTGAGCGAGAACCAGTTAAGAAAAAAAAAACAAACTATATGATGCAAAAAAATAATCTAAATAATTTTTGTATCGGGGTCACATTGAAATTATGTACCAAATTTAAAATAAAAATATTTATTATTATTTTATTATTATTATTATATTTTTAATGAGAAGGTTCAATGAGTACGAACTTCCATACATCGAAAAATATAAGGAACTAATTATGTGTATGTGAACGAGAGATTAAGGGAGGAAGAAAATAATAATAAGACAAGGAGGAACACAAGATAGCAAGGCGGGAAGAAAAAGTCGACGAGTGAAGGCTGAAAGGCGACAAAGGAGTGATGTGGCGTATGTTGTAAGTGCGTGTACAAATGCGTGTGTTAAACCACTAGTATCTCTGGCAGTGTTGGGAAATTACGAGGTTTATTTTGTTCCCAAAGAATCCCAGGGTGGGACCCAGGTTTGACAAGTTCCATAAATCTTAGTTTTCTTTTGTCCGCGCGTGAAAAGAAAAGGAAAAATAAAAATAAAAATTGTACTGCAATGATGTCGGACAGGGTAGTATAGAAAGCCGTGCTCATAGTCTTCCTCTACAAAATGCATCTCACAACAAAAACGGCCACATTCTGAAACTTGTTGTTGTTGTTTTTTTAATCGTTTGTTTATTATGAGTTCCCTGTAAATGAGGAAGGGTGGAATCCATGATCTTCTCTAGTTGTGTTTCCTCAAAGGATTGTAACTCGGATCGCACTGATATATAAAGGAATGTATGAAATCATTTTCACGGTCGAATCATTTTTATTTATTTTTTCTTATTTTCTGTTTATGAAATATGACTATTTGAATCCATGATTTGCTCCAACTGTGTTTCCTCATAGGATTGTAACCCTTATTATACTAACACTTAGAGGAATGTATCCAGCCTTTTTCACAACCGAATCCGTGTTTTTTTTTTTCTTTTCTTGTTTTGTGTTTCTTGAATATGACAATATGGACACAGGGGTGAAGTGCCCTCACATTACCATGTCCAATAATGTATACAACTGCAAACACGGCCAATTTTTTTTTTTCTTTTTCTTGTTTTCTTGTTTTTTGAGTTTCACGATCGTAACTTAAAAAAAAAAAAAAAATTATGCTCGTGAGAGTACCATTAAAAAAATGGAGTGGGACCCACGTTCGACAAAACTCGGAGCGTAGTAAAATTTAGGGTCGACAAAAGCAAGCTAAGAGATACTAGTGGTTTAAATCACCAGTACTTGGCCCAACTATTGATGTCAAGCCTGGAATGCCCCTACGCACTAATTTTCACCGAAGCGCCGGGGTACCGTTTCAAAAATGTTTTGGCTGGCATTTCCAGTCATTATGGTCCAGTACCTTGAAGCCCTAAAGGCGAGGCGCCTTAACGGGAAAGCATCGCGGCCGATAGCTGGGCAAAGTACTGGTGGTTTAAAAAAAGGAAATGAGCAAGAAGAGAAGATTGTGCAAGATAAAGGTGAACGAATAAGGGGGAAGCAAGTGGTAAATATATCAATGTGGTGTGCATGTTTGTTTGTGCGTATGTATGTGTACATATGTGTATGATTGTGTATGCATGTCAGTTGGTTCTCACATATGTGCACATGTATGTTTGTATATGCATGTATACGCACACACACTATACATAATAATATGTAGAAACATGTGTTTTATTTCATAAAAAGAGAGGGAGAGGGGGGGGAGGGGAAAATAAAAAATTGCATCGAGGCTATTATGGGGGAGGGCGCAATATGATTGTGTGTGTGCGTGCTTAGAGAGTGAAAAAGGTGGTAGGAGGGACACATCTAGATGTGTATAAGAGACAGGAGAGAGAGAGAGAGAGAGAGAGAGAGAGAGAGAGAGAGATGGTCCTGGAACACACTAAGGGTAGGACCCCACCGCTAGGAAAACATCTGCCAACCCAAAATCGTCGCTGACGGGAATGGGCAAGCAAAACGGACTTCACCGCCACAACGATTTTTGGCACTCCCCAAGGTTTATGTTACCCGATCAGGAAGACTTGCCTTTTCGGGCCAGTTTACCTCCGCTTTTTCAGCACACCAGCCAATCCTAGTGCTTCCTTTCCACAAGAGATGGGTGAATCTAGAGGGTGCGTTTGCCGAGCTCTAGAGGTAGGCAAACACACCCTCTAGATTTACCCATCCTGTGCAGAAAAGAAGCACGGGAATTGGTGGGTGTGCTGAAAAACGTAGGTAGGCAGAGTGGAAACAAAAATGCTTGCCTTTGCTGCCAGCAGTGGAGTCCCAAAAACTAGAAAACGTAGGTAGGCAGAGTGGAAACAAAAATGCTTCGTTTGCTGCCAGCAGCAGAGTCCCCAAAAACTATGCTTGGGTTTGCTGCCAGCAGTGCCAAAAGCTGAAAAACGTAGGTAGGCAGAGTGGAAAGAAAAATGCTTGCGTTTGCTGCCAGCAGTGGAGTCCCAAAAACTATCTTCAAAGGCTTGCCGCAGTCCAGTGGGGTCCTACCCTAAGGGTTCCCCACTCACGGCAAATCTGAAAGGTACCATGTGCGCAGAAGGGGCATACAAACAATAACAGATTTTGGGGGTACCAAAGGATGTTCAACAACTTAGAGCGGCAGCAGACAAATGTAACGGATTTGGGGGGTCCCATAGGAGATTCAACAACTTAGAGGGGCAGCAGACAAATTTTCGACTTTGAAGGGGTTGCGGCCCTCCACTCATCCACCGGCTTGGCACGTCTTTTCCGTTATCCGTATAAAAACAGAAAAGCAGAAAGTGGTTAGGGGGTCGAGGATGTGGTTGCACGGTGGGGAATGTGCGGGGTGCCGTGTTCACGTTCCAGAAATGGCAGCCTCTGACGCCCGTGAGTGCAAGCCTATGCCTGGCTGCTAGGTCGGCAGACTAGCCCACCATTCTCGTGTTGCCAAATCAAATGAACGGGCGGGCTGGTTGCTGGGGGGGGGGTGCCCAAAGGGCGGGTTCCCGCGGGGAGGGGAGAAGAATGAGGTGAGGTATTCACCAGAGGGGAAGGACGCAAGAAGGGGCGGGATGTGCAGCGACAGTAGCTTAGACAAGGGAGGGGGACCGATAGCGAAACGTGTTGATTATATTGGTGTTTTTTTTTTTTAACCCTTTCTGTTCAGGTGCCACGTGGGACGGCGGCATGGTGGCACCTTCTTCCTTCCGGCCCTCTGACAGCTGTTCAACGTGGGCGATACCCTGTAATACTCCAGCAAACGCCTGCAGGCATCGTTAGACAGCAGGGTCTGCTGCTTGAGCCCGGTGTTGTATAACGACGTGATTGTTGTTCGTCCTCAATCTCATCCTCCCTCTCGTCAGTTGTGATCTATGCAACCTGTTCTGATCGGTTCTGATCGCCGGTTATTGATCGACACATTCACTTGTCAACCCTTCATCATCCAATCAATCAAGCAATCAATCAAGCAATCAATCAAATCAATCAACCAATCAATCAATCAATCAAATCAATCAATCACTTGATTGATCAATCAATCAATCAATCAGTCAACCGACCAATCGTGCAACGTCAGCTGGCATCACACGCACACCATGGATCTGGAGAGCAGGCAGATGGAGGTACTGGAGCAATTCTGTTTGTTGGCAAAGAATGCCCGCGGCAGAGCCGCGGTCGAGTTGATTAATCGTGCCACGTCTGCGCCAGGTCTTTTCGCATTTGGCGAGCTGCTGGACATGCCAAATATACAAGAGGTGTGGGCGAAATCCTCCTCTTCCTCGATTCCCTGCTCTCTCTTTTGCTTCGTTTTCTATCTTCATATCTTTCTCGTCCCCTCTTCTTCGTCCCCCTCCCTCCCCCTCCCTCCCCCTCCCTCCCCCTCACTCCCCCTGCCCCCAGCCACTTCCCCTTCTCCGCGTTTGTGCTCGTCGTCCCCACCCTCCACGTCCTTCTTCTGCTCTATGCTGTGTGCACAACATCAGGGTTCATTCTTCTCCTTCTTCGCCGTCTTCCTCCTACCCCGTCCCTCCTCCTCCTCCACCTTCTCCACCTCCTTCACCTCCTTCACCTCCCCCTCTTCCTCCGCGTCCGCGTTGTTTCCCCTACTCTTCCAATCCCGTTCTTCCTTTCTGTGCGCGTATCTGTTTTTTTTTTTTTTTTTTTAATTTTTCCCTGTGCTCCTATGTTGCCGCCTGTTGCCCGAGTCCCCTGTTGGCCCTGCTGCTTTAGGTGGGGCCTGGTTCCTACCGTTTTCCCCCGAATAGAACGCACGGTCGTTATAGCTGTGCTTAGGGCAACTTCCAGTCTCAGTACAGCGATAATGACAGTGCGTTCTATTCGGGGGAAGACTGTAGTCCTCCATGCCGAACATTAAAAAAAAAATGGGCTTGGTCTTCTCCGCTTCCTCTCCCTGCCCCTCATTTCCCCCTTACCTGCTTCTCCTCTTGTTCTTCCATTCCCTCCTCCACCTCCTCTACTTCCTCCCACCTCCTCTACTTCCTCCTCCTCGTCTTCCCCCTTGTCTTTCCCCCCGCTCCCTCTCGTCGTACACGTTTTTCTCCTCGTCCTCCCCTAGATTTTCCTCTTCTCCGTCGTTTCCCCCCGGTACTTTCCCTTCCTCTTCTCGTCCTTTCCCTTTCTTCTTCTACTCCTCCTCCTCCCCCTCCTCCAGCTCCATCTCTTTCTACCTACCCACCCTCCCTCCTTTTCGGCTTTCGCCTCCCTCTCTCTTTCTGCTGTTCCTTTTCCTCCTCCTCCTCCTCCTCCTCCTCCTTGTTCCCGCCGTCCTCGTCTTCCTTCTCCCTCTATTCTTTCTCCTTCTCCTCGTCCTTCAGTATTCACTTTCTTCCTTGTATTCCTCCACGTATTATCGTCGTTCTATTCCATTTTCACGTATTATATATACATTTATTGCCGTCTCCCGCCTTACATGTTCAACCTACGGTTCTCTATCCGCGATGCTTCCCCGCCTTCCCCCCCCTCCCTCCTCCTTGCCGGGCATGGTTTAGCAAGTAATAGCGGCGTAGGCCGCTAGATCCTCGTCGTCCTCGTGTTCCTCTTCGTCTTCCTCGTCCTCGTTGTGGCCCTCTCCCTCCTCTTCCTCTTCGTCCTCCCCGTCCGCCGCCCCCTTCTCCCCCTCCGCCGCCCGTCCGTCTTCGTCCTCCACCTCGTCCTCTCTGTCCTGCTGCTCATCCTCGTCCTCGGTATCGTCCTGCCTGACCTCGTCTTCCTCCTCCCTTCGCCTCCTCCTCCTCCTCCCCCTTCTCCTCCTCCTCCTTCGGTCTCGTCCTCCTTGACCACGTCGTCCTCCCTTCCCCTCCTCGTCTTCCTCTCCCGCCTCCTCCCCCTCCTCCCCCCCTCCTGTCTCGTCCTCCTCTTCCCTGCGCCTCCTCGTCGTCCTCGGTCCCTCCCCCTCCGCCGCCCCATCCTCTTCGTCCTCCACCTCGTCCTCCTCGTCCTCCTGCTCATCCTTCTCGTCCTCGGTCCCGTCGTCCCTGACCTCGTCCTCCTCCCCCTCCTCCTACTCCTTCGGTCTCGTCCTCCGTTGCCGCGTCGTCCTTCTCCCTTTTCCTCCTCGTCCTCCTCCCGCTCCTCCTCCTTCCGGACCTCGTCCTCCTCCCTTCCCCTCCTCGTCTTCCTCTCCCTCCTCCCCCTTTCCCCCTACTCCTCCTTCGGTCTCGTTCTCCCTGACCTCGTCCTCCTCCCTCCGCCTCCTCGTCGTCCCCCCCCTCCTCCTCCTTAGGGTTCGTCCTCCCTGACCTTCCCCTCCTCCTCTCTTCCCCTCCTCGTCCGCGGCGGTCCGCCTCTCCCTTCCCCCCCTCTTCCTCCTTTGGTCTCGTCCTCCCTGACCTCCTCGTCCTCCCTCCGCCTCTTCGTCCTCCTCCGCCTCCTCCTCCTTTGGTCTCGTCCTCCCTGATCTCGTCCTCGTCCTCCGTTTCCTCCCCCTCCTTCCCCTCCTTCCCCTCCGCCTCCCCCTCCTCCTCGTGCTTCCCCTCCTCCCCCTCCTCCTCCTCGTGCTTCCCCTCCTCCCCCTCCTCCTTCCCTTCCTCGTCCTCCTCTCTTCCCTCTGCCAATCTCCTTCTCTCTCGTCTCCTCTCTATAGTCACAGTCGCTACAAATGCCGAATGCATGAAGGGGGGGACTCGCCTACCATTTCCAGGGTGGGGGGTTGTGATATTTTGTCCCACTCCCTACACTGGGCATTCATCTGAAGGGGCGAAGAACTCATATCCTAGTTTTACCATAGCTGGAACCATACCCTGTTTTGTTTGGCGTGTGCTCCGCAAAAGGGGAAAACAACTTGTACCCTATTTCTACGACAGCTCATCGATCTCGTCTTCCTCTTCCTATTCTTATCCTAGCTAGGGTCTTCCTCTTATTTCTACCCTTGCTCCTTTCCCCCAAACACAACATACCCTCCCCATGATACCTGTATCAGACCGGGAAAATGGCTTGTAGGATGTCGTGATGGCCTATGTTGTTCTCGGCAGAACAGTACCACCCATATATTGGGGACTTACCGTCATCCCCGGAACACAACGCACCCTCGTTATGGACGTATACAACATATGTTTCCGTTCAGATGCAGACATGATGACGGTGCGTTGTGTTCGAGGGAAGACGGTAAGGTAGAATTAGGTGGCGGGTATGGGTGGGCGGTCTTCCTCCTCGTGTTTTTTCTTCTACCCTATCTCCCCGCTAGTTTCCTTTTGGATCCCATCACACTTTCCCCGTCGCACGTGATGGATGTAGTCTGGTTCTCATCTCCTTCGCTCGCGCGTTATTTTCCATTGCCTCCTCCCTTCCTCCCGCTGATGCCCTATTCCATTCTTCTCTCTCTTTCTCTCTCTCTCTCTTTCGTGATGGATATGGAATGGTTCTCATCTCCCTCGCTCGCTCGTTATTTTCCATCGCCTCTCTTCCATCTCTCTCTCTCTCGCTCTTTCTCTCTCTCTCTGTGTCCGTCTTCTCTCATCTTGCCTCGTCGGTTCCGTTGTTTTTTCCTTTTAAGTTTCGTTTGTTCCGTGGTCCCTTCGTCGTCTTCTGCTACTCCGACGTTTCATCATCATCCTTTGTCCTGCTCCTCCCAGCCTTTTTTTTTTTTTTTTTAACACATCCCGGTCTGCTGCTGCCTAATTAAACTCAATTCAATTTATTAAGCCAAAAAAAAATCCGATGCTCTCCGATCTGGACATTCTATTTCCTTGATACTCTCCTCCACGTCCGTTGTTCTCTGCCCTCTACCGTCATCGCCCCAAAAGTATGCACGCAAGGTCATTATTGCTGTATCTAGACTGAAAGCTGGCATAATACAGGTACATTGACAGTGCTGCGTTCTTCTCCTCTTCCTTTTGCTACCGCTTCACGTACGTTCTTCTCTGTCCTCGATCCTTTCCTCTTATCGTCTGTCGTTCGCGTTGTGGATCTCTCTCTCTCTCTCTCTGGTGCTTGCCGTCTCCGTCATTTCCTTCCGCGTCTGTGATCCGTCTTTCGCTCATCCCCTCTCCAGGATGTCCATCTGTCCTCCTCCTCCTCCTCCTCTTCCGCCTCGTGCTGGTGCACGTTGTTCTCTGTCCTCGATTCTCACATCTGCTTCGCTCTCTCTCTCTCTCTGTGCTGCTTGCCGTCTCCGTCATTTCCTTCGACGTCCGTCTCCAGTCTCGCTAATCCGCTCTCCTGGGTGCCCATCTCTCCTGCTCTTCCTCCTCCTGCTGCTGCTGTGGGAGTGCGCTTGTCTGGAGTGGATGTCAACAAAACCTGCGAAGCACTCTAACAGTGATGGGTATCATTGTTACAGTAATACTTGTAAATATACTTGCCAAAATAGTGAAAGAGGGAGAAGGTAGGTGGTCCGGACTCGCTATCTGATCCGGAGCGACGACCTTCAGCTCTCTAGTATTCAATCGCATCGCATGATCCCCCACCTTCCTTCTCTCTCTCTCTCTTCACCTACGGAGAGGCGGTGAAAAGAGAGAGAGAGAGAGAGAGAGAGAGAGAGAGAGAGAGAGAGAGAGAGAGAGAGAGAGAGAGAGAAGGAAGGTGGGGGGTCATGCGGNGAGAGAGAGAGAGAGAGAGAGAGAGAGAGAGAGAGAGAGAGAGAGAGAGAGAGAGAGAGAGAGAGAGAGAGAGAGAGAAGGAAGGTGGGGTGTCTTTGTTACTGGGTTTCTCAGTCCGCTTTTCTTCCCCGCCTCTCCCTAGTCTTCTTCCCTCCCCTGATCCGGAGCCACAAAAGTATTCGGGGTTTAGAGGTTGACGTCCCGGGGGGATCGGGGATGATCTATCCTCCGGGTAATGAAGTGGCTCAGCTCCAAAGGGACCTCCCAAGTGTGAATCCGACCTCAAGAACAACTTGGACGTAAAAAAAAAAAAAAAAAAAGAATAAGAAAAAAAAGAAACAACACCGATGAAGTACACCCCCGGGTGCTCGGCCGGGCATGAAACCCGGGCAGGGTTAAGGGAAGCCACAGCGCCCAAAAAAGCAAATTAAAAAATTTCGGTGAAGAAAAATTGTTATGTATAATTGCAATGCAAAGTATTACAAAGCTAGGCTGTTTTTCTCCGGGCGCCCGGGCACCCAACTTGTGCCCGGATACACGCCCGGGTGCCCGGGCGGGCATGACCTCGGGCAGGGTCCCGGGCAGTCCCAACGCAAAAAAAAAACACAAAAAAAAACGAAAGTCGAAAAATTCCAGGAAAAAAATTATGTTGTGTAGAATTTCAATACAAACAACTTTTGGCTGAGGGTCACATCAGAATTCCTCACCGAATCGGAGATAAAAAAGAAAATAACAAAATCACACTAAGGCACCTCCCTTTAAACCCCCTTAGCCCCCTTAAAACAAATTTATACCCCCCTTYCCCCCCCTTGACAGCCAACTCTCGAAAATTGAAAAGAGCCCGGATTTGAGGTCCTCTGGGAGAGCGCAGAAAAGCAATTTATTTTATTTTATTTTATTTTTTCATTTTGTTTTGCACGCCCGAATATCCCGGGCGTCAGACCCCCCCGCGCGTCACGCCCGGGTGTCTGGCCGGGCAAAAAAGACTTCCTAGTTACAGAGTTAATGCAAACGACTTTTGGCTGAGGGAAACGTCAGAATTCCGCACGGAACCGAAGATAGAAAAAATAGAACAGCAGAATCAGACAAAGGCACCCCCCTTTAGATCTCTTTTAGACCCTTAAAAACTAATTTACACCCCCCGCTCCCCCCCCTTTACAGCCAACACTCGAAAAAGGAAAGGTGCCCGGACTTGGACTCCTCTGGCCACCCCCCCCCCCCCCCCCCCCCAAATAAAATAAGAAATGAGAAGGGCTGGTTTTTGCCTGCACGGGGTTGCCCCGTGCAGGTGCTCCCGGGCGACTTGCCCGGGTTGCACGGCCGGGTGAGCCAAGTAGCCTAGGTGAAAATCACCCCGATGAAATAACCATCCACCTGTCGTTCGCATCCCACATCTTTCAATCCTATTCGCACCACCCGGCACTTGGCGATTTTAATGCTGCTGACACGTCAGCAGACATTCCGGGAAAGGCGGTTATAATTTACAAGAGCGCATTCTATGTCATCCTCGTTGCTCATCACGCGCACATTCTCATCATCATCGCCCTCTTCCTTCTCACCCTATCTGGCTCCGAAAGTTTGTCGAAGTTTACATTTTTCCTCATCGAATAGTTTTGGCACTTGCCAGCGATGTTCCTGCTGCTGTTGCGCACATTATCCTCATCATCAGCGGCCCCCACCTCATTATCCTATGTGTAACAGAAAGTCCGTCGGAGTGCGCACATTATCCTCATCATCAGCGGCCCCCACCTCATTATCCTATGTGTAACAGAAAGTCCGTCGGAGTTCACCTTTTCTGCATTGAATAGTATTGGCACTTGCCGGCGATGTTCCTGCTGACGTTAGCATGCATCCACGTCATCCACCTCCTCATGGTTGCTCGTCACACACACATTCATCTTCCTCCTCATCCTTATGCCCTCCTCCTCCTCCTCCTCCTCATCCTCGTTCAGGTCCTTTTTTTTAATCTATTTAATTAAAGGAAACTGTCACATTAGATTATATTACAAATCATCATCTCTGAGGCCGGGGACCTCGCAATTCAACCCGGAGGTATCTCGTCGGGGCCATTACCCAGCTTTGGCTATGCAAGGAAAAATCTGGAACAAAGGAACTAGACGAACTACAAGAAATATACCTGCAGGCCGCAGCAACTGCGGTTGCTGCATGAAGAAGAGCAGATATAGGCGTAGGTCCTTCCATTGCATGTGGTAAGCATATATGCCGAGAGAACTGAGCTGATTCTGCTGTAGGTCCACAGAAAAGAAGAAAATAACAGAAGGTAAAAAAAATCAACAACAACGGAACAGGAAGGGACTGGCCGAAGCGCTTCCGCCGTCGCTATGGCGTTTCCGACCAAGCCGTCGCTACAGCGTTTCCGACCAAGCGCTAAGCCCCTGGTAACGTGGGCTTCTGAGTCAGCTGTGTTTGCACCACCATCGTATAGCCCACGGCTGTTATGACCCTATCCCTTTCTGCCATGCTCGGAGGGTCGATGCTGCTTACCTGTGAAGGTGAACATCGGCAATGGTGTCATAGTGATTAGTCAGCTAAGGTCCAACGATAGGAGCTTAATAGCTCATAACTTTGTCTTGCATGGTGATATACTAGGTGACCTGGTTCTGCTTCCTTGACTTTCTCTCTAACCTATCCAATTCTCTTCAAGTGATGCTGAGTGGTGAAGATACCATGGCGACAGTCGGAATGGAAGATGGTGAACATCAACGTGGTGCTCGCTCTCCCCCACCCGACCTGGGAGGTGATAGAGATGATGACGAGAGGCTAAGAGAGTTGATGCGTCTATGCTACGAAGAAAGTATGATGGTAGGACGTACCCCGGCCAGATGATTGTGGAAGGTCGGGAAGCAAGGTTTAAAGTCAACGAGCGGATCGATAGAGAGAAGGAACATATCGTGACGGTAATCTCGCCGTGGAAGGTCGGGAAGCAAAGTTTAAAGTCAACGAGCGGATCGATAGAGCGAAGGAACATATCATGACGGTAATCTTCCAGGAACGAACATATCGTGACGGTAATCTTTCGGAAACGGGCGAGGTTGCTACCCAAGAAAGTAAAGGATGATTCCGGGAACGGGGGAGGTTGCTACCCAAGAAAGTAAAGGATGATATTAAAGTCAATGAGAGGATCGATAGAGTGAAGGTTGCTTGGCTGAAGGAACATACCGTGAGGTTCCTACCCAAGAAAGTAAAGGATGATATTGTTCGCGCCTACGAAGACGACAAGATCCAGGACGGAAGGTTCGAGGCGGAGGATTTTCGATGTGGGAGAGTGAAGGTGGAGAGTCCAAACGTGGTCTCTTATGTTGCGAAATCCAGGGCAATTGCGGCATGGATGGTTACTAAGGGACATGACGACATCACAATCCGCCCCGATACTTACAAACTAGAGTTCAAACCGTGGATGTTGAAGGCTCAACTTCGAGAACAACGACGAGAAGAGGACGATCTCACATTCTGGGTAGTAGCGGTCCAAGTGCCACTCGACTCCTATCTAGAGGCCCAAGTGGCGAAGGCGATCGGCCCCATAATTCAAACTCATCCAACGGAACCAGATCGCCTCAAGCCATCACTCGTCAACATGAAGTTTGATATCGACCCAACATCTTGTCCTAATATGAAGGATAAGGTTTGGGTCGTTACTCCGGAAGGGGACAAACTTGAAGTTAAGCTGGCCTCCTCGGAAACCCCGAGGTGCCACCGGTGCCGAGCCTTCTTCCACACGGATAATGAATGCCATTGAGGGACGAGACAGCAACAACAGAGTAACCAACCAGAATGAAGCGGCGGTCAACAGGCGTCAACAACTCAAGGGTACCGTGGCCCAATGGGCCCCTTGGGACTCTCTCCCTCATTCGCAGCACTTCATATGGAACCATCCAACGCTCAACTTGGAGGTCAACCGTACGTCACCTCTCATCTCAGCCCAACGTGCTCTCCACTCCATCAAACTAGTCTTGGCAGTCAAGTCGGTGGTCAAAGGGGAGGTCAACCATGGATGCAACCACCTCTCCTTCCTCAATACGGCATGCCAAGTTGGGCGGGACATGCGTCCATGCCCTGGATGGCCCACCAAGCTTTCCAGCAGGGGGGACATATCCCCCCTCCACTTGGTACGGCCCGACCTCAGCAACATGGAACCACTGGTGAAGCGTCAGGAGTAGGGGGATTTCAACCGATAATCCCCTCTCCTCCTCAGATGGTAGAGGGCGGGAGAGTAGTGACAGGAGGTGCAGTTGGCAGGGCAGATGGTGCAGCCCCGACAGGAATGGCTACAGGTGGCATCTGTGCCATCAATGATATTGGAGCAGTTCCAGGAAGGGACTCCACCCTCCTACACGGACAGCACGTATCCACCAAGACCACGCTCAGGTACTCCTGGAAAGCAACGCCGGCTCGACATGGAAGGAATCTTTATTGCAAGCGAATTGCATGAAGGAGGGGAAGCCTCCGACTCTTCACTTCCGAGATCAGAGGACTCCATCGGAAGGGTAAAAGTGGTGGGCACACCAGGAAGCTCCTCAGGGAAAAGGAGAGCTCACAGGAGCTCTCCTTTTCCCTGAGGAGCTTCCTGGTGTGCCCACCACTGGTGGAGTCCTCTGATCTCGGAAGTGAAGAGTCGGAGGCTTCCCCTCCTCCATGCAATTAGGAGGTCAACTCCAATTGGTTGAGAACAGAGTATTGCCGCTGTTTTGCACCTACGCCCGGAACTCTTGTGGGTTCTTGCTTGGCCAGCCGCGGATGGCTTGCTGCAGATGGTAAGTATTGCTGGCCCCAAACAACCAATGCCCTCTGCTGTAGTCACTCTGGTTAGGATGACCGTTCACGATCGCTTTCTTTTTCGTATCATCCCTGATATGTTGATGCCCAGGTTAATTGTTGATAGTCCGGAAGGTGGTGGGAAACAGATTAAATTTTTGTACCAATCATGGATGCAAGATCTGTGGTTGGACAGTTGGAAAAATTGGAAGAAGAAGGTGTTCGCCTTCTCCCACTGTCCTGGTTCTGGGAACCTCGCGAAAATGAACTACGAAGACTGAAAATGCCTCCTCTGCTATCTGTTGAACACTTAGCAGAAGTAGATGGCAAACTCCTGAAGGACAAGAAACTGCTCGCCCCGTGCGTCAGATCAATGCTTACCACATCTTGGTTATCTACCCAGTTTCCCTCGAACTCTCAGGGTCCAACCTGCTTCCGGGGGTTTGGGTGTAAATGGGCAAACATAGAAAAGGATCGTGGAATGTAAGATGGTTGGGAGATGGAGCAGGTCGCCACAAAAGAGAGAGCCTGAAATCGTGGATGTATGACAATAATATTCAAATAATGTGCCTCCAGGAAACAAAATTATCTGAGAATTTTTTCTTAGGTCTAGCCACTTGGTGGGACGGCCCTCAACTATGGGCCCCTGTGATTGGTTCGAGAGGTGGCACCGTGATTCTAATCCATAGGAAAGCAGAGTTAGAAATCGTCGATTTTTATTCTGACATCTGGGGACGGTGGTCTTGGGTGAAATGCTTTGTAGATGGCCCATATTGGTTTTTTGTATCGATTTATGTTCCAAAGGAGGAAAAACGTCGTGCTAATTTTTTTCCAGGACTTGTTATTAATTATTCCAGAAGCAAATAATCTTGTCCTTGCGGGGGACTGGAATACGTCATTAGTTGACGCCTCGGGCAGGAGAATCAGATAATCTTGTCCTTGCGGGGGACTGGAATACGTCATTAGTTGACGCCTCGGGCAGGAGAATCAGAGATGGAATGTCTCTCACCTTGGCTATGGACGAATTAGAGGTAATTGATCCCTTCTACTGCAGAATGGTGGAACTCTGGCTCACGGATTTTCTCCAACCTGTTAAACGTCGTCTCACGGCTGCTCGCATTCAAGCGCAACAGAAAAGTGGCAGAGATTCAGCAATGAATAGCATACGCAGAGTCCAGGATGCTCGAACACCCTGTGTTACATACTTCAATGAGTATGGGCAGAACCAAAGATCAACCAATGTAGGATGAGCATATATGCAGCGGAAGTCTGATAAACGGACTGACTCACGTAGACTGACTCACATAGATATCACTCCACACACATACGATTGTGAGATGGTGGGGTCTGAGCCATACATGGCCGATGCTCAGCCCCGTACACACACGCACTGATGAAGGTGGGAGGAGAGACGAAGGAGGTGGGAGATGTAGGTAGCACCAAATGTCACCGAGATAGAAACCAGTAGGTCACCGATATGGTAATCCAAAATGTCATCGAACAAGATCGAAATGTCGAGGGCAATAAGTCACCAATGTCGGAGATACCGAGTCCTAATGTAACCGGTGTCAAATATGTGATGCAGCCGAGTATCATCCCCAACAATCTCCAAGTCTCGAACTCGGCAAGTACCACAACCTCTTACCACTGAAATCCAACTCTGATCTCTGTCCAACTAGTATAAGTCTCCAGTTTGAAGAAGAAGAAGAAGAAGAAGATGAAGTCTGAAGAGAAGAAGAAGAAGAAGAAGAAGAAGAAGAAGAAGAAGAAGAAGAAGAAGAAGAAAGAGGAGGGAGCCGAGGAGGAGAGAGAGAGAGAGGGGACTGGCGATGGGAGGGAGGAGAGAACCTTCGACTCCCGATACCTCAGGCCGCTATGGCCGCCGATATGCTCAGTTGCCGCTGCTGCTGCTCCGCTCGCTGCTGCTGCGCTAATGCTGCTGCGGCCGCTGCTCCTTGTGCTCCTGCGCTAAGAATAGCGCCAGCGCTGTCGCGCCGTACCATACCGCACCGCTAGAGTGCTGGTGGGTCGATGGCCTGAATGAGGCTGGACCGGTACTTTTGTACCGGTGGGGCAGGGGCCGGCCTCAATGCTGCGAGGCCTGGCCGTGCCCTGAACCGTCAAGATGGACGGTTCAGCCCCAACCGGCGGGCGACAGCCTCAAGAGCCGCCAGACCCAAACGGTAATGTCGTTTGGGCCTGCCCGTCGGGTCTGGTCCAAAGTGGGGCGTTTACGGTCTGTAGTACCCCCAAGGTCGGGCCTTTAGGCCCTACTGTGTCCCTCTAACCCTGAGTCGGGTCCGGTAGGACCCGTGTGGCGTCGAAGATGTAACACACTCCCCCTCTTAAAAGACCGAGCTACCTGCGAGGGCGAAGTTGTCTGTCCGATACCGGGGTGGGTCGGGCGGGACGAGCTGCTTCCTTAGCAAGGCGCCGCTTCTCATAGTCGGCGAAGATAAGGGGTGCAGAAGTCTGCAAATCTGTACTGGAGATCCACCGAGTGTCATCAGGCGCACATTGCTTGAATGTGACTTTGAACTGCATTGGCTTGTTGCCATACTTGCGATGCGTGATGACTCGGTCGACTTCCTGATGTCCGTCCATAGAAGGCGGATCCTGTGATCGACGGCCGGGAAACTCGTCGGCGGAAGGTGGCGTGTAGATGGCCAGCTTCGACGCGTGGAAGACCCGGTGCACTGGAAGGTGTGGAGGAATGTTGACCACAAAGGAAGGACCTACGGGGTCGCCTCCAACGACAGAAGTGACTTCCCATGGTCCGAACCATTTCGGAAGGAGTTTGCGCGAAACGTCCTGCTCGAGCACAAATTCCTCGGAGAGGACCCAAACAAGGTCTCCCTCGCGGAAAGGACATGGAAGTTGACGTCGGTTAGCCTGCTGCTGCATGCGGATCTGAGCCTTTTGCATATTCGCGTGGGCTTTGATCAGCAAGTCCCGGTACTTCCGAACGGAAGCGGGAGAGCAAGGGACGTCTATGTCGGCAGCCTGTGGCAAAAGGAGATCAACGAAGATCCGTGCTTTTTCTCCACCATGATGTAGCTCGAATGGTGTGACGCAGATCGTCGGGTGCACCGAAGTGTTATAGGCGAACTCGATGTCGGGAAGCCGGTCAACCCAATCTTTCTGGTCGGGACGGATGAGCGTAGGCAACATCATCTGAGCGGTCTGGTGCGCTCGTTCCGTCTGGCCATCCGTCTGCGGGTGCCGAGCCGAGCTCGACTCCATTGTCGTACCGGACTCGGCCATGAGGGAAGTCCAAAAAGCCGACATGAAGCGAGTATCTCGGTTGCTCACTATGTCTTCCGGAACACCCTGGTTGGTAATCCAACCGGTGTGCAAGAGTCGTGCGAGCTCAGGCGCTGCAGCATGATAGTTGCAAGGAAGGAAGCGAGCATACTTGCTCAAACGGTCAACGACCGTGAGAATACCGTCATGGCCGTGACGATCGCGGGGGAACGGGCCTGTCACGTCCATAGCAATGGAGAGGCGCGGTGCCCGAGGAATCGGCAACGGTTTCAGTTCGCCGAAGGGGACTCGAGATCGACCCTTGTTACGGTGGCAAACTGCACATAACTCAATGTACCTCGTGACGTCATGAAGGACGTCGGGCCAGTGAAACCGCTGGCGGAGGCGTGCTAATGTGCGGTTCACGCCAAGGTGTGCCGAAAGTCGTGCGTCGTGGAATTCGCCGAGAAGACGAGTACATAAGATGCGATCTTGGGGCACAACTAACAAGTCCTTTCCTCTAGTGTGAAGGAGAAGGAACCCGTCGGAAATCCGATAGTGGCTAGCCAGCGGGTGATCCGATGAAAGCTCCGCGTAAAGCGTAGAGTAAGTCGGATCGGACTTGTAGCCTTTGACGAAATGCGGCTGCAGATCGTCATCGAGGTCGAATGCCGTGGTCACAATGGCACAAAAATCGGGCCGTCGTGAGAGGGCGTCCGCAGCTCGATTGGCGGGACCGGGAATGTGGTACGGGTCAAAGTCGAACTGGTCGATGTAGTACATCCATCGACCGATCGTGCTCGTGACCGTATCCTGCGTTTTGTAAAAGGTCAACGGATTGTTG